AGTCCATAGGAGAGGTAATGAGGGTCTTAACAAGGGTGTGAGTAGAGAAAAGGGGTTATACGTGAGAGGTGTTATAAACACAGAAACATCACAATTTGACAACTAGTTCTCTTCATGTGGTTAAACACATTGAAGTTATGAACCTATGTGACCAGCAAGGATGGTGGTGCTTTCAACAGAACTAGGGAAGCTTAGAAGAAGGAGATGTTGACAATATTTTAGTAGGAAAGTGACATGGTCAGGTCTGTGTTTAGAATATTAGTTTGGAAGTTTGTGTAGAGGATGGATTGGAAAGCGTAGAGACTAGAAGAAGATCAGTGAGGAAGTTATTGTAATAACCCAGGTAGGAAGTGATGTAGGCCTGAAGAAGAGTAACTATCATTTGAGAAAAAAAGGAGACAGCTGTGAAATGTGTTGTTTAGGTAGAATCAACAAACTCGGAAACTGATTGGATATGGTAGGTGGAAATCACAGGAGACTTAAATATAACTCTGAAGTTGAGGACCTGGGTGACTTGAAGGATTATGGCATCCTAAACAGAAACATGGTGGATTGGAAAAAGGATATGTTTTTGGGAAAACACTCCACTTTGGACATGTTGAGTTGATGGGATAATTCCCCAGACACCTCCACAGCATGCTGACTGCACTCGAGTCATCATCTCACCTCTGCTCCACTGGAACTTTCCCCATTTCCCCCTTATCCCATTGTTTACCACTCACCTTTATGGGTTATCTTCTCCCATTAGAATGTAAACCCCTTGAGGGCAGATACTATCTTGTTTTATTTTTTTGTACCCTGATGCTTAGCATAATGCCCAGCATACAGTAAATGCTTAATGAATGCTCTATCTATTACCTGTCTATGTAACAGGCAATTGGTAATATAAGACTTAAGTGTAGGAAAGAGATCAGGCCTGGATATATGTTATTTGGGAGTCATTTGTATAGAGATTATAAGTGAACTCATTGCGCTGAGAAGATCTCCAAGAGAAAAGGGGTCAGAACAAAGACTACCCAGATATAATGGGTAGGAAGTAGATGACAACCAATCAAAGGAGATTAATGAAACAGCTCAGAGAGGACAGAGGAGAACCAGAGAGACTGCATTATAGAAGCCAAGGGAGGAGAGGATAACTAGTATGGCAGACTAAAAGGTCAAAAGCTTCGGAGAGGTCAAATTGAATGATAATTGAGAAAAGGCAGCTAAGAGACCATTGGTAACCCTGGAGAGAGAAGTTTCAGTGGAGCGTTGAGCTAAGAAATCAGATTTCAAGAGATTTCAAAATAAGCAAGAGATGAGAAGGTAGAGACGATGAGTAGAGATGACCCTTTCCAGTCTGCAATCATAATCTCATTGGATCCTCAAATCAATCTTTGGGGTAAGTCTTAGAATGGGCAGGGCCATCCACTAGCTTTGTAACATTGGGGGGAAAGCCACTTAATAATCCTCCATTTTGCATTTCCAGTAAGTTGTCAAATGTTCCTGTGTCTACCTCCACAGCATCTCTTGCATCTGATCCTTCCTCTCTGCATATCCAGCCCCCACCTTAGTTCACGTTTCATCATTGCTCACTTGGACTATTGTAATAGCCTCCTTTTTGGTCTTTCTGCCTTGAATTTCCTCCCATCCCCATCCTCCCTCCATGCAATTGTTAAAACATTCTTTTTCAAGCACATGTCTATGTTATTCTCTTCAATCAACTCCAGTGGCTTCCTATTGCCTCTAGGATAAAATATGCATTCTCTCTGGATTTCAATGCCCTTCACAAGCTGCCCCCAACCTATCCTTCCATCTTCATTATACATTACTCTTTTTTCCAAACTCTATGGTTTAGCCATAGTGGCCTTCTTGCTGCTCCTCATGCATGACAATCAATAATGGGCTATAATAGTAATAGCTCACATTTATATAGTATTTTAAGGTTTTCAAAATGCTTCATCTTTCTAAGCATACATTTTTCATCTGTAAAATTAGAGAACTGGAAGAGATGACTTCAGAAATCCTTTCTGGTGCTATGTTAGAATAAGATGTTGATTTTATTTCTAAACAGGAGACTGCGGTGATGTTGTTAATCTATAGACTGATAAGCTTCATTTTGATTCCTGGCAAAATACGTCTGTGTGTGTTTTGAAAAAGAAACAGCAATCATTGATGACCTATAAGAATCATGTGAAACTAATCTGATTTCCTTTTTTCGACAGAACTGCCAGACAGATAGAATCAGGGAAATTCTGTGGTTATGGTATGCCTAAATTTTAGTAAGGCATTTTAAGAGTTCAATCATGTCATCATTATGGATTATATAGAGAGATATAGGTTAACATGGGCCAAATGATAATATAATTAGGTGGGCTCAGAAATGGTTGAATGACTAAACCCCCAAAATAATAATTAAGGTGATATCAATGTGGAGAGAATCTTTAGAGGAATGTTCTCGGGATCTGTCAATTAATCAATCAATTAACAAGCGTTTATTAAAAATCTATTATGTCAGGCACTATGCTAGGTGCTGGGGATATAACAGTAAAAATAAATAATTCCTTCCTTCAAGGAACTCATATTATTGATGAAAGAAAATTTGAAGCTATAAAATATATTCAAAATAAATACAAGGTGATTTTTTTTGGAGGGAAGTCAATAATAGTAGATAGGATCAGGAAAGGCTTATGTGGCTATCAGTGACTGAGATGAAGGCATGGCTGCTGAGCTTATAAAATTTGCAAACCACGTAAAAGTGGGAGAGACACTTAAAATACCAGATGTTATGATCTCCCCCTTCAAAAAATCCCACCAAGAAGGAACAAAGGACAATCAAATAAGATAAGATTTAACTGAGGTAAGTATAAACGGATACACCTAGGGCAAGTATGGCTAGGCAAAACTCTCAAGAAAAAGATCTGAAGGTTTCAGTGGACTTCAAGCTCAACAAGACTCAATAGTGTGACAGAGCATCTCAAAAAGTGAATGCAATCTTAGATTAAAATGATGGAGATCTAGCACCCAGAAAAGGGCAGGCGATATTCTCGCTCTCCTTCGGCCTGCTCTTCCAGAATATTGCGTTAAGTTCTGGGTACCACATTTTTGGAAGAATGTAGACAAACAGGATCACACAATCCAAAAGAGGGAGACCAGAAGAATCAAAGAACAAGGCCCTAGTTCTTTGACTCTTCTGGTTGCCCTCTTTTGGATTAATTACTAGGATAATTACTAGGGTCTATACCATGAAATCTAGTTGAAAGGACTAGGCTTGTTTAGTTTGGAGAAAAGGAGAGTTGGGGGTAGGGTGGGGTGGGGTAAGATGAAATAGGGAGTGGGAGGTTTGTATGATCGCTCACTTTGGGTATTCAGTGCTCAGTGATTTCATGTGGAAGAGCAATATAACTTTTTTTTTTCTCCTGAACACAGAGGCCAGACCCAGGAGTGATGGGTGCAAATTGAAGAAGCAGGCAAATTTAGATTTGAAGTCAGGAAAAAAGAAATTCTAAAAATTAGAGCTGTCCAAAAGTGAGATGGCCCGCCTCAAGAAGGTGATGGGCTCCTTAAGCATGTCTCCCTGCACAGGCTGATTGGGCATGTTGTAGAGGGGATTGCTGGTCATGCATGGATTGTGCTGGATGTCCGCCCCCCCTCAGGCCCTTCCGACTCTGAGATGCTGGAATTCTTTTTTAACATCTCCTGTGCTTACATTCTGTGTAGTAAGTTCTCTTCCAAACAGAAAAATTCTATGAATCTTCCAGATCCTCTTAATTCCAGATAAAATTCCTAATTCACTGGCTGTTTCAGTGCTTTCACTGATGCTTTCCAAATTCCCTGTTAGGTCTCTTCTGTTGCCAGAGTCCAACTAACTGTGTTTCAAAGCAGTTCTGCAGGTGTGGATTGTCGTTAATCTCATCCCAGTGCAGCTGCCTGTGGCATGAGTGAAGGCAAAAATATGCTTCCTTGAATTAAAAAAGAGAGGGCAGAATTTTATGGAAACCTCATCATCCTTTTCTCCTTTGCTGATCCCCTTCTTCTTTACCCCCTCAGTTGACCTCTATCTCTGTCTCTGTGTCTCTGTCTCCTTTCCCCTTCAGTCTGGCTCTACATACTGGTTCTCTCTCTGCTGCCTACAGAACTATCTTAAGCTCTCGTCTTTGAAAAATGTCACTAATCTCCATCCTCACCTGATGCTATTGTCTTATATATCTCTCTTCCTTTCTCAGCCAAGTTCCTAGAAAAAAAAATAGGCTATTTATACTCATTATCTCAACTTCCTCTTTTCTCATTCATTTCTCAACCTCTTCATAATCTGGCTTCTGACCTCATCACTCAGTTGAAACTACACTCCTCAGAGTCATCAATAATCTCTCAATTGCCAAATCTGAGCTCACCCTTCTGGACCTCTCTGCAATATTTGACATTACTGACCACCTTCTCTTCCTGGATATTGTCTCTTCTCTGGGTCCTTGTGACATAACAATACTACTAATAGCTAACATTTATATGGTGATTTAAACTTTGCAAATGATTTTATGTGTATTTTATCTCATTTGCTCTTCCTAACAATCCTGGGAGGTTGGTGCTATTATTATTCCCATTTTATAGATGAGGAAATTGAGGCTGAGGGAGATTAAATTATTTGTTCAGGGTGACACAGCTCATAAGTGTCTGAATCAGGATTTGAACTCAAGTTCTTTCCGGGTAATCCTTTTACTTGTTTAAGTGTTTTTCCTTTGTTGGCTCATCATTTATATCCTGTGGATATAAGCAAAGGCTTGGTTCTAGACCTTCTCTTTTCTCTATACACTTGTTTACTTGGTGACCTCATAAACCCTCATGGGTTTATCATCTCTAGACAACTCCTAGATTTTTGTATACAGTTTCAGTCTTTATCCTCAACTCTAGTTCTATATCAACAATTGCCCAATTGGAGATTTCAAATTGGATGTACCATAGAGACCTCTAATTCAATGTATCTAAAACAGAAGTCATTATCCTTCCCCCAAATTCACCTTTATTTTGAACTTCTCTTTTAATGTAGAGGGTACCATCATCCTTCCAGTCACTTAAGTTTGTAATCTTGGTATCATTCTCAACTCTTCATTCTCACCCATCCTACACATTAAAAACAATTGTTAAGTTTTGACGTTTCTACCTCCACATCATCTCTTGCATCTGAATTCTTTTCTCTGCTCACACAGCCACCACCTTAGTTGAAATCCTTATCACTTTTCACTGGACTATTGCATGGGCCTTCTAATTGGTCTTCCTGCCCCACTTCTTTATTTACTTCAATCCATCATCCATATAGATGCCAGTGATTTTCCTTAAGTGTGGCCTGACCACATTGCTTCCCTTTTCAGTAAACTCTGGTGGCTCTTTATTTCCTCTAGCATAAAATATAAACTCTATTTAGCATTTAAATCCCTTTATAACCTTGCCCCAACCTACATTTCAAGATTCATTATACATTACTTTCCTTCCCACACTTTGTGGTCTAGTCAAACTGGCTTTCTTGTGGTTTCCTTACACAGTGAATTGCCTGTTTCCATGGTTGTTGTCTATTCCTGGAGCACGCTACCTTCTTACGTCTTCCAGACATCCCCTTACTTACTTCAAGAATCACCCCAATCACCAACTTTTTCTATACAGGGTGTTAAAGCTTAAGTTTAAAAATGACCCTAAGACTTTTGGGACACCCTGTATGAAGACTTTCTTGACCCCAATTCCTAGTGCCCTCTCTATCTAAGCTACTTTGTATTTGTTATGTGTATAATTTTATATGCACATAGTGTCTCTACTGTTCTTCCCCCCTCCCATTCCTTAAGGGCAGGGACTGTTTTAATTTTGTTTTTATGACTCTAGCACCCAGCTTAATAAATGCTGGTTGATTGAAAGGGATATAATGATTCCAGCCATTCTTCAGTTAATTAGAACAGCATTTATAGCCATGGTTTAGTGAAGGAAGTGCTTTGAATGAGTTAATACATGTTACCAATTATGTTATGTATACCCAGAAATGGGCTTTCTTATGGATAGGGTCTGGTTTTTTAATATTAATTGTAGCATTATAGAATCAAGCCATTCTGGATTTGGAAGGGACTTTAGAACAAGAGCATGAAATGTCAGAACGGGAAGGGATCTTAGAACAGAAAATATGAGAACTGGAAACTTAGAGATCAACTAGTCTAAACTTATTTGACAAAGGAAAAAAAACTAAGGTCTAGAGATTTGAAGTGACTCAGTAATTAGGGCAGGTAGGTGGTGCTGGGCCTGGAATCAGGAAGACCTGAGTTTAAATCTGGCCTTAGACACTTACTTGCTGTGCAACCCTGGGTAATTCACTTCTTGTTTTCTTGAGTTTCCTCCATGAGCTGTAGAAGAAAATGGGAAACCACTCTAGAACCTTTGCTAAGAAAACCCCCAAATGAGATGACAAAATGTGAGACATGACTGAAATGACTGAAGGACAACAACAATAACAGAAAAAGAGTAGGACCAGGATCCAGGTCTCTTACCTTCTAGGCTAGAGTTCTTTCCACTAGACCAAAACCTCTAGGAAATAGCTCAGTGCATAGCATGGAAGGATCACCTTGAAAATATGAGAATGAAGATAAGGTTGCCTGGGCCAGGGGACATAGCTAGGGAAATTATTCAGGGAGCAACCAGTATATGGGGACTTTCTTGCAAACTAATCATACTTTTTCCATCAAAAAAACTAGGATTGTGTTCTGGGAGGGAAACTAGAAAACAGCACACCTTCAAATCAAGGTGTCATATACAACCTGCAACCAAGGGACAGCAAAGCCATTTTTCTTTACAGAGAACAAGAGAAACACCTCTGACTTTCCTCGTGAAGAATTGGAAGAGGATGACAAGGTGGTAGCATAAAAAATTGACTCTGCAGAGTTCATAAAATTTTCAGCAAGACTGTGGGCAGGATGGGTTTTACAAAGGAGGAAAGGGGAGCTCTGGTCCATGCCTGGAATCCCAATGGGTACGCTGGATCTCTGTCATTAAAATTTGAGTGTAGATCAAGAGTAAATATTTCCGGTGATAATTACTCAGTGCTGGGCAAACATCAAAATGTTCGAAGTTCCAGGTCCTTTTGGATGGGGGCCAAAAAATAAGAGTGTTTATCTAAAGCTTATCCAAATCATCTGAGCTTCAGAGCAAGGCGAAGCTTGGCAGGCCCTCTTCGAGGGCTCATATTTTCAGGAGACTTGATCATTACAGTGAAATTTTCCCCAAGGGGACATTGCATATTGCTGAGATACTGTGGCTGACAAAGTCAGCTCCCTTTGCTGTGTCATCTGAATGGCCACTGCAAGACTTCAGTTCCAAATCCTTCCACCTCCCCATCTGGCTTGGAATCCACAAAGCTGGACTTTCTAGATGTATATTTCTGAAGTGTATGTGCTGGACAAAGCTGGAGCAATGGGCTTTTGGCAAAAGGGAAACGCAGAGACCATCATGATCTCTGTGATTACATCCCAGAATGTTGGAGCTGCAAAGGACCTTAGAACATAGAATGTCAGAGCCTGAAGGGGCCTTAGAGTTCATCTTGCTATTCAAGTTTTTAGTTTCTTGCACACTAAGCTATGAGTTGTATAAAGATGGGCTGGGCTGAACTTTGGTACATTAGTACTAAAATTAGAGCAGAAGTAGCTTAACATTTTTTCTTCCTCCAATAAATATGGATAGACTTTATAACGCTCAGCTCTGGTGAGCGTATTCAGGTGCATTCCTCTGCGCCTACATCTAGTTAATAGGTAGAAAGAACTGGGGATGGTTAACCTGGAGAAGAGAACATCTAAGTGGAGATGACAGACTTCTTCAACTTTTAAGGGTTGTCATGAGACAGAGGTATTTGAGTTGTGCCTAGCCTCAGAAGGTCAAATGATGATTCAGGAAAGTAAACTTCAAGGAAGCAAATTGTGGTTCAACATAAGGAAAAGCTTTGTCCAAATTCTAATACCTCTCATAAGGTAGTAAGTTCCCAGTCACTGGAGATATTTAAAAAAACCCAAACAATAGCAGGATAATGTTGTGGAAGGAATTCTTGTTTAGGTATGAGTTAGATTAGGTTTCCTCTGAGGTTCCTTTGAAATATAGGATTCTATGATTTTATGGCTGTAGGATGAGAGAAGAAGACAGAAAGAGGAAAAATTTGGAACCATAATGGCCTTGAATTCTATGGGAGAAGGCATGTAGTACTTGAACTTGAAAGGCTGTGGAGGTCAAAGTTGAACTCTAGGAGGAACTGGAGATGTCTCAAAACTGAGCTCTATTGGTGCTCTGAAAGGATCTCTCTTCAGATACTGAAGAGCACTAGTGACTCTGGTATTCCCTCCAAGAGGCAGGACAAGTGAGTATTATTGAGGTTATGGAGAAGCTATATATAGCTAACAATCTCCAGGCAGGATTTGGAATTTTGGTCCATGCTCCTTTCCTGCCCAGAGCTGGCTGGAAGGGTGGTGCAGTGAATAGATCCTGGAGTCAGGAAGCATGGCTTCTGAGCCCCAGATCAGCAACCTGCTAGCTGGGTCACTTCCCTTGGCTCAACTTCATTTTCCTTATCTGTAAAAGGGGAATAATACTATTTTCAATAACTCCATCATGAAGTGCTATAAGGAAGGATTTTGTAAATTATAAAATGCTCAAAAACGTGACCTGCTGTTATCATTATTCTTACATGTACCTGCACATGCAACTGTTAATTATCTTGGCTAATTCATTTTTTCCTCTCTTATTGGGCAAGTCAGGCACCTTTATTTAGACAACCCATCTTTCCAATCTTTAGAGGAGCAAGCTTCCAACTTTGTTCAAAAGGTTCAGCACAGCGATTGGTAAAGGGCATTTCTGCTAACAGTTCTGCTCCCTATTCTGACAAATATTTGAAAGAAGAGATCTTTGCTCTCTCCTGCCTTTCCTGACTCTTGACCTATGGGCATAGCCCTTGCCTCTGAAATGTCAATAACAAAAGCTACAACTGAAAAAAGTAAGAAAAGCTCTGGTGATATCTCTATCTAGGTGTATGATACAGTCAGCAAGTGCAGACCTACGATTTTACAAATGAGTAGTCAGTCTCTGAGTTAGAATCGTCCCATATTGGAATGGGTGCCTTTTAGAGCTAGTGCTAGTGTGTCATATGACCATGTTATTGTGGTTGTTGTTTGTCCTTCATTCTGGAAGAGGACCATGGTATCAGGAAGGTGATGCCATGACTTGCAAGTGAGTTGGATTTAAGTGAGGGAGGGCTGTGCAAAGTCACCAGCCTCACTTTCTCCTCCGGAGCCGTCTGGGTCCAGTGGCCAGATATAACTCAGGACAACTGGAGATGGCCCCTTTGGTGACCCTGGAAGTTTATGGCTAATTTCCCAACTCCCACTCATATTGACTGGCTAGGTACCCAGAGGGTGGATGACTGCTTCTCTTCTTGGGGCTTTAGGGGTAACCCTGAGAGATTAAGGTTTTTACTTTTGTCATTCCCATTTGTGTGCTCTCCATTTATTATTCCATTTTCTCAACTTGTCATACTCTCCTCATCTCAGTGATTCTGAACCCTAGACTGTCAATGCATAACTTCCACTACCCTTCCCCTATGGCATATTCTCTTCTTCTTTTCCCCCTCAACCTGACCCCCCTTTATTCCTTCCAATATAATCTCTGTAATGCCTTCTCCATAGGTAACAAACTTGCTTTAATCTTAGACTTTTCTTTATCTTCTTTTGCTTACTGAGAGCTGGCTCCCTCCTGATGATTAGGCATCCACACAGAGATGGTCATACCCTTTATCTTGGCAATCCCCAACAAGGGTTCCACTTCCATATTTATGAACTCCGAAATTCTTTATCTGATTATAATCTTTTATCATTCTATCTTTACCTCTGCCTCACAATGTCCTCTTCTTTTCCCTTAACGTAGTTTCAAATTTCTTTTTCTCAGGCTATCACCCCTATACTTGCTATGCTTTCCTCTCTTCCTTATCTTGATTTCTTGGTGTAACAGTTCAACTCAACACTGCCCTCTGCAATAGAATCCCTTGCCCCCTTCTCTCATCCAAGAATACCTTGCCAAATCCCACTTTTGGATCGCCCTCATCATTTGTTGACTTCACTCCTGTTCATTGCTGCTGAAGGGAGCTAGAGAAAGTAAAAAAAATTGTTGAAATGGATCCGTTAAAATGCATATGAACTGGGCTTTCATTGCAGCATGGCGATTCTTTTACATCTTTCTAATTGATTCACTATCCCACTCACAACAGTGCTTTTCCAAACCTTTTCATCCCTCCTTAAATCTCTCATGGCACTTCCCCTCTCCCTTTTCAGGTGAGAATTTTGCCTCATCCTTCACTGAAAAAATTTAAGCCATTTACTGAGTATTTCCTCTTCTAATTCAGGGGTCTTCCTCCACTATCCTTTTTGTCCCATCTCACATGAAGAGGTGAGCCTTTTCCTTGCCAAGGCAAACCCCTCAGTATGTGCCCTTGATTCCATTCCATCCTGTCTTCTCCAGCAGATTGCCCCCTGTACCACCTCTGCTCTCTAACTAATCTTCAGTCTTTCCTTATCTGCTGCCTTCTTCCTTGTTGACTACAAACACACTCATCTCTCTTCCACCCTTAAAAAGCCCTCACTTGATCCACCCATGTATACCAACTGTCATCCTCTATCTCTTTCGCCTTTTGTGGCTAAACTCATTGAAAAGTTCATCTGCAATCAGTGCCTCCACTTTTTCTCTTCTCACTATTCTAAACTCTCTATAATCTGGCTTTGAACCCCATCATTAAACTGAAACTGCACTCTCAAAAATGATACATGATTTTATAATGGTCAAATCTAGCAGCCTTTTCTCATTCCTGATCCTTCTGGACCTCTCTGTACGCTTAGACACTGTTGATCACCCTTCTGGATACTGTCTTCTCTCTGGGTTTTATGACATTTCTTTCTCCTGGTTCTACTCCTTCTTTTCTGACTAATCTTTCTCTCCTTTGCTTTATCCAGGTTATGGCCATTAATTGCTTGTGAACAGCAGTTTGTTTAGACTCCTCTTCTTCTGTGTCGTTTTTCTTGATGATCTCATTAGCTCTCATGAATTTGATTATCATCTTTACACAGATAAGTCTTAGAACTATTTATTCAGTCCTAGTCTCTCTCCTGATCTCCAGTCTTGCATTATCAATTGCCTGTTTCTACTGTTGAGTCATTTTTCAGATGTATCTGATTCTTTATGACTTCTGTTAACCAAACAAAGAAAACAAACACACAAAAAACAATATCACCAGTCCATGAGGCATGCATTGTAAGTGGATTTCTTACAAGAAAAGTGAACATTTATATGGAACCCTATGCAATTGCTAAGAGTTCACAATCAAAATAAAAGCTTGCATATTTATGAGATTACAACAAAAGAAGGAGGAGGAAACAGAACTCTCTTCCTAAAAAGGAGAGCCATGGGAGGAGGAAAGGAGCAGCAGGGCTGAGAAAAGCACTAAACCTCTCCCGAGGGGAGGAGTAAGGCAATGGCAGAAGCAGCATTCTTTTCCCTTGGGAATTGCTGCTAGACCATGAAGAT